TCATCTCCAATAAACCACCAAAAAGCCAGAAGTAAAGCTGTGAGTGGTTGAGTCAAAAAGCTAAGTGACAGCATCCAGACCATGAGTCCAAGCCTCAATGTTTTTGGTACATGTGTACCAAAAAGAAAGTGATTACAGGCATATGCCACCAAGGCCGGTTACACCACCCCCAAAATAATTTCAGTTTAGCAAAAAACACATTGATAAGCCGGGCACCGGTGGCTCACGCCTGTAATCCTAGATACTCAGGAAGCTGAGATCTGAGGATCTTGGTTCAAAGCCAGCCCGGGCAGGAAAGTCTGTGAGACTCATCTCCAATAAGGCACTAGAAAACCGGAAGTGGTGCTGTGGCTCAAGCGGTAAAGCACTCACTTTGAGCTGAAGAGCTCAGGGACAGCACCCAGGCCCAGAGTTCAAACCCCATAACCGACAAACAACAACAACAACAAAAACCCCACAGTGATCCATAGAGAAAAAAACTATTCCTTTATTCCTAAGTTATATACACAAATAAAACTCCTGCAGGAGATATAAAAATATCACTACTGAGTTGGAGTCCTGAGAGGGAGGAGACAATTTATCTGAATGAAAAACCCAGCTTCCACCCAAGAAAGAACATAAAATCGGCATGTACATTTATATCCAGAAATGAAAAAGACATTTAAAAAATAAGAGTCAAGCCAGGCACTGATGGCTCACACCCGTAATCCTAGCTACTCAGGAGGCTGAGATCTGAGGCTCATGGTTCAAAGCCAGCCCAGGTAGGAAAGTCTGTGAGACTCATCTCCAATTAACCACCAGAAAACTGGAAGTGGCTCTGTGGCTCAAGTGGTAAAGCACTAGCCTTGAGCTGAAGGACAAGCCCTGAGTTCAAGCCAAAAAAAAAAAGTCGAGGCTCAGCCACATGGCTCACTGTGGGTGGTTGGGAAGGAAGGAGGAGGCTGGGGCACTGCTAGTTGTGTCTTAACTGCTCCTTGAAGCTCCTGCCATTCCCCTAGGAGACTCAGACCCAATTGCTCATAAAGCAGCAGTAGTATGATGGATCAGAAGATCAGGAGCAAGCAGCTAATCCTTGCTACTCAGGAGGCTGAGATCTGAGGATCATGGTTTGAAGTCAGACCAAGCAGTAAAGTCTATCTCCAATTAAATTCTCCCCCCAAAAGCCAGAAGTAGAGTTGTGGCTCAATGGTAGATTCCTATCTTTGAGCAAAAAGCTCAGGGACAGTGCCAGGGTCCTGAGTTCAAGACTCAGGCCTAGGACTGGCCCCAAAAAATAAAAATTAAAGGAAAAGGATGAACAAATGATTGTACATTTTTACAAATTTTAGAGTCTCCACACCCTTTCTTACATTCATCCATCCAATTCTTTGGTGTCTTCCTACCCTTAATAGACACTACCCAGCTCACCTGCCCAGCTGTCCACAGGGAACAGGGTAGCTATGTTAATTTCTTTTGATCTGAGCACAGGATCTGTGGTGGATACACCGATAATTGCAAACCAGCACAGGTAACTCACCCTCAAAATAGAAATTCCTGCTGCAGCCAGGTGCTGGTGCATCACACCTATAATCCTAGTTACTTAGAGGTTCCGATCTGCAGATCTGGGTTCGAAGCCAGCCTGGGCACAAAAATGAGACTCTTATCTCCAATTGACCAGCAAAAGCTAAAGTGGAGCTGTAGCTCGAGTGGTAGAGATAGCCCTGAACGAAAAAGATAGAAGTGTAAGTCCCCAGTACTTGCAGGAAAGAAAGAAAAGCTAAGAGAATTTCTTGCTGTGGCTGTAGCTCAGTGACTTGTTAATATCCCAGGGGGAAAACTCTCACACCTGGATAGGAAATATGTCAAGACTGTAACAAAACCCTTGTGGCTTATACCTATAATCCTAGCTACTAAGGAAGTCGAAATCTGGTTGAAAGCCAACCCAGAGAGAAAAGCCTGCAAGATAACAACTATAAAATAACCAGCAAAAAGCAGGGGTGCCAGTGGCTCATGCCTGTAATCCTAGCTACTCAGGAGGCCGAGACCTGAGTGAGGACTGTGGTTCAAAGCCAGCCCAGTCAAGAAAGTCTGCAAGACTCTTATCTCCAATTAACCAAACACACATACACACAAAAAGAGCAAAAAAGCTCACGGACAGTGCTCAAGCCCTGAGCTCAAGCCTTGGACAGGCAGATAAACAAAATGCACAGCTTGGGCTGGGAAGGTGGCTCAGTGGTACAGTGCTTGCCTTGTGTGCTTGAGGCCCTGGGTTCTATTCCTCAGCACCACATAAGCAGAAAAAAAAAGCCGGAAGTGGTGCTGTGGCTCAAGCCTTGAGCTGAAGAGCTGAGGGACAGCGCCCAGGCCCAGAGTTCAGGCCCCATGACTGACTGGACCCCCCCCCTCAAAAAAAAATGTACAGCTCAACCAGACACCAATGGCTCCCATCTATAATCCTAACTACTATAATCCCATCTATAATCCTATAATCAAGAGGCTGAGATCTAGAGATCACTGTTCAAAGCCAGCCCGGGCTGGAAAGTCTGTGAGACTCTTACCTCCAATAAATTACAAAAGGTTGGAAGTGGAGCTGTAGTTCAAAGTGGTAGAGTGCCTGAGCAGAAGAAACTCAAGGGACTGTGCCTAGGTTCTGAGTTCAAGCCCCAGAAAACGGCAAAAAGTAAAAGTAGGGTTCGACCTGTTGCTCAAATGGTGGCTTGCCTAGTAAGCGCAGTCTTTCAAAATAAAAAATAAAAAACCACAACAGGAAGGAAAAAAAAAACCCATACAACTGACCACCTCAGAGCAGGGGCCTTCTAAGGAAAGCTGGATGCACGCACACCTTCGACCTGTTCTCCAACCGCCTTAATTTCACGGATTTAAAATTAAGGGCCTCTTCTAATGAACTTCTAGAATTCAGCCACAGGTCTCCGAAGTTGAGTTCCTGCGGGGTCTTTTCTGTTGCAGACCTCGCTTACCAGCCAGGCCGGGCGGTAATGCGGCGTGTGGCCGGCAGGTGTCGCAGCGCCCACACTTGACAACGGCCAAGCTCCCCACGGATCTGCCCCCACAGCGGCCATGGAAAGCCTGCGGCGTCCTTGCTGGGCACTGCCCGGGCCGACCCTGAGGTTTGGCTCCTCTGGGAAACTCATTCCCCTGAGGATTGAACCCGTGAACCGACACCGAGTGCTGGGAACCAGGTCTGAGCCCACGCGTGCAATCACCGCCCGGCGGTGCAGGGGCCGGGGGGCCGGTCTGCACCTGGGGCGCGGGCGGCTGCCTTCCCTCCGCACCTCCCATCCCGCCCCACGGCTGCTGTCCCGGCCGCTTGCGTTCCTGGTCCCTTTTGCCACCGAAGCCGCAGCGAGGCACCCCGGGCCGGCCTCGGCACCCCTCCCCGGGGACAAGTGGCCGCGGCGGGCTGGAGTCGCCGGGGCTGGGCCGGGCCCCAGTGGGTGCGGCCCCGTCACCCGCTTCCTACCGGAACTTCTAGAAGGCTAGGGGCGCGGGAGGTGTGTGTGTCCGTGACCGCCAGCCCGAAGCCCAAGTCGGCGTAAAAGTTTCCCCCGGGCACGCAGCGCCCGAGCCTCGCCGGTCCCGGGGCCAAGGCCAGGCCTGCCCCCACCCCGAACCCCGAGGCGCGCGCGGGATCGCTTCTCCCGCCTCGGGCTGGGCTCCTGCGGAGCCTCG